GGGAGTTTGAGTGTATATTGGATTTTGAGAGGGGGATATGTCAATATCATGTATTTGTTTTCTTATTAAAGATTTTGGTGTTGATGGGGATGCCAGAGATGAACCTGGACTAGGAACTATGTTCATTGCCTGCCTTTGGTGTTGCTTGCCTCTTTTGTCCTCCCTGTAGAAATTCTCGAGTCAAGAAGTCAGGCAAATAATTGTTTTGACCATTAATATGTTCAATAGTAAATTCGAAAGCAGAAAGATTACCTTGCCGTTGTGCAAAGATTTCCTTGGACACGAGATTTTCTACGTCCTTTTGGAGGATATCTTTAGCCGCTTTACAATCCGTTCTTAGAAGGAATGATTGATTAAGTAGATCACTTTGAAATTTAGTAATGGCATGGACTATAGCAAGTATCTCCTTTTTTACTGGTGAGTAATTTTGTTGAGCAGGATTCCAGTTTTTAGACGTAAATCGAACCAACTACTCTTGATTATTTATTTTTTGTTTAGTATAGCACCAAACCCTTGTTCTGAGGCATCTGTTTCAACTATTTTAAATGTTGTAGGATAAGATAGGGCCAGGCATGGTAATTCTTTTGCTGTTATTTTGATCTTTTTTACAGCTTTGGTATGTTCATCCGTCCAAGCTGGAGGATTTTTTTTTAATCTTTGAAATAGAGGTTTTGCATCGAGTGTTAAATCTTTATAAAAATCTGAAATATAATTTAGGCAACCAAGAAATCTTTGTATTCTCTTATTAATTTGTTTTCTTCAAAGTAAAAGTCCTTTTTAATCCATTCTTTGTCGATTACAAATTTTTCCTTTTGAAAAACATTAATATCAAAGTCTAGATCGGAAGGAGTTAGTTCTTGTTCTTCTAGTTCAGAAGAACCTGGGGTTTCAACTCTGTAGATTGGTTGTTGAACTTGATTTGGACTTCTCTTTAATCTTTCGATAATAGTTCTTCTATGGGAAGATAATCTTTCATGTTTTGATTGTGGAATTGAAGTAGTAGAACTTCTGGGAGGATCCCTGATACTAGGTTCAGCTATTCTTAATGTGGTCCTTCTAGAGGACGGAAACTTTTCGAGGGTATTTTGATCATTTTATTTCATGTAAAATATTTTTTTGATATTTTTCGTAGATTCACCTATATCTTATGAATACACGCTTAAAATTTCAGATCATTCCGATTTGTAGAAAACAAATGAAAAATAAAACGCTACTAGACAATCGTGACCTTACGATGAACTTTGGACGGTGATGAGCGTAGACGAAATCACTGTTTATTTTTGTCTA